AAAATGCCCAGCTCAGCTGACAGGAGCAGACATCTACGCCCTGTGTTCAGATGCCATGATGTGTGCTGTCAAAAGCAAGGTGGAGTGGATTGAGGCAGGTAGGAGCCCTGCCCTTACCTGTCCCAGTTGTTGGGGCAACCCAGCACAGGGACAGGGAGGAGAGTTACCACTGTTGGTAACTGGGCTGTGCGAGAAGATCCTCAGCAGCTTTGGGACCACAGTGCTGGCTCTGGGTTATTGCCAGGCAGGCAGTTTCTGCACATGTGGTCATCTCCACCTCCAGTGCTTGGCCCCAGGGGGAAGGAGGGAGACACAGGTTTTCCTTGCAGTCTTTGATGGCTGGAGAGTGGGCTTTTGGATCTTGCCAGCTGCCCCTGTTCTCAGCCCTTTCATGGTATTTCTCTCATGCAGGGCTGGATACTGAGAAGTCTGCTCTGATCCTGACCATGGAAGACTTCCTGCAGGCTGCTGCTAGGTTGCAGCCATCAGTCTCTGAGCAGGATCTGCTCAGGTACAGACTCATCCAGCAGAAGTTTGTGGCCTCCTAATGCTCAGCAGAGCTGGGAATGGAGACAGGCACAAACAGGCACCTGCCTGGTCTTCTCTGATGCCTCCCCTTCTTTTGTGCTTGGGTGGAAATAGTGTCTGAGCAGTTTCCCAAGCCAAGGCCTGGTGGAAGTGCTCTCTGCTCATCCAGGAGGGTGGTGGGTTCTGTAAAGGTCCCTCACATGTCAGCACTGCGTTGTGGCTGCTGGGAACATAGCAGGATGATTTCTGTGTGAGGACAAAGCTGTGGGCAGTGTAACAGTATCTGCATGGGTGACAGACCATTCATTGGTGGGGGAGCGAGGCTCAAACTGCACCTGGTTTGTCAGCAAGTGCAGGGCTGGAGGCAGCTGCTTGTTGGGCTGTCAGCCCCCAGTGAGAGGTGCTGGCCAGAGGGCAGCAGGACACAGGGCACTGCTGCTCCAGCTGGCCTGGACTTGACATAGTTTCTAAATAAATACAGTTTGTTTAGCACTAAGTGTTCACTGCCTGACCTCAAGTTGTTGCTTCTGATGGTGTCTGTGCAACCTGGAAGGTCCCTGCAAATTTTGGGGTGGGCTGGGTGGTGCAGAGAAATCATTGTTCTGCAGGTAGAGAGGGGAGCACACCTGTGAACTAGACTGGGGACACTCTCATCTTGCCAGAATGGCTGGAGCCTGTGGTGGATGAGGAAAGCCTGAGGGAGAGGCACTTGTTTGACTGAGCTCCCTCTGCAGAAGGAGCCCAGTTCTTGCTGGAGGCACTGGGTGACAGGACCATGAGGCAATGGGAGCAAGTGGCAGTAAAGAAATTCCCATTGAATAAGAGGAAAAACTTGTCACAGGAAGAAGGGGAGCTTCAGCCTTGGAAATACTCAAACAATGTTTGGAGCAGCCTGGAGCTGCCCAGTCTGCACTCATTTGTGCTGAGCACCACTTGACCCAGACCCCCTGAGGTGCTGTCTCATCTCCCTCAGCAGCCTCACAGCAGCTGCTGGTGGCATCGCTTATCCCCTGCTTCCCAGCCTTTTCCAAGGGGGCCGGACAAATGGCACCTGAGCTGTGTTTGGCAGCTGCTGTGGCCAGGTGCCTGCAGCTGCCCTCAGCCTTTGCGCAGCCCAAGGGGTTGCTGGTGCCAGATTTTGCCCCACCTGCTGTAGGCACTGAGCCTGCTGACAGCTGGATTCCTGGGCCAAGTGTGGCTGTGAGGGCCTGCTCCCCCTGGAGCTCCTCTGCTAAGAGCTGGTTCCACAGCAGCTTCTGGCATTCCATGTGTGAGTCCCCAGCTGGTGCATGCCTGGAGCCCTGTGGCTCTGGCTCTGGTGCCTGAGCGTGTTCAGGCAGGGCTGTCCCTGACCGCACTGCTCCGTGCTGCTGGATCTAGGCACCGCATCTTCCCCAGGGTGGAATGGAGGGAGTTGCAGCCACAGCAGGAGCACTGGTGGAGGCTCCAGTGTGGAGCCTCCTCACTCTGGGAGCTCCAGTGGAGGGGTGGGTACCCCTGTTTGGGACTGCGGAGTGTCAAGTAAAGGGGTCAGCACCTGTTTGGGAGGTGCACATGAAAAAAACAGGTTCCAGCACACTCCTGTGAGCAGTGCTGCTGGAATTCTGCTGGGATATGCAACCATCTGGGAGTTAGCTCACCCCTCCTTCTGCATCAAGGGGGCCTCCAAGCCCCACACTGCTGCCATGCTGGCACCTGCAGCTGGGGACTTGGTGGGGAAGCTGTGCCTGCACCCATCCTGTGCTGCCCCCAGGCTGAGCACCTCCTTCCACAGAGTGTGAGGAGGCTGTGGCCATTCCCCCTGCCCCGTACCCTGCCCAGACAGGGACACACGGACCATGATCGCAGGTAGCTCTCACAAGTGTTCTTAATTAAGGGGAGGGGTCTCCCAGGTGGCTCTCAGCCATGTCCCCACCCCCTGCTTGGACCCACAGTTGCTCAGAGCTCTCAGCCACCACAGTCCCATCTCCGTAGCCCCCTCAGCCTGTCTTCTTCACGACGTGGATGAAATAGCAGGGCACGTGGGCCTGTCCTGGTGTGTAGGGCTGGAAGTCGCCCAGGACGCTGTGCTGGCACTTTCCCTGGAAGGCACCTTTCAGCAGAGCTGTGAAGGCCTCCAGCCGGTGTGGGTAGTAGGAGAGCCGAAACTTGCTGCAAGGAGGCAGTGCTGGTGAGGCAGGGGGACAGTGGGGCACAGTGCCAGCCACCCCCCCAAGCCAGGAGCCACCTCTGCAGCTCTTCTCACCTCAGCTCTGGGTCTGCCCCAGCCTCAGTGGGGGGGACCTGCACCGTGTAGTCCAGGGTCACCATGTGTGCCTTGTTGTTTACCAGCAGCACTGAGGTGGTGATGTCCTTGGTCAAGTCGCTCTGGGAGACCACAGGAGAACATCTGTGTCCTGTGGGGACTCAGTGGCCCCCAGCCTGGGCACAATCCTGCTGGCTGCCCCCCTTGGGGCCGTGGGGCTAGGGCAAAGGGGATTGGGATGGGGCACGGCCTGCCAGCCACCGACCTTGTAGTAGATGTTCTTGCCGGGTGGTGCGCAGCCCGTGGCCAGGATGTGATCGTAGTTGCGGTGGTCAATGACCAGGACACCCCCAGGCCTCACCATGCTGGCAATGTTCCTCAGGGCCAGCTTGTGGTCACTCTGGTCCCCTGGAGAGGAAACTATGGTGTCTCCAAGCACTAGCTGTACCCCATGGCACAGCCCATATGCCCTCATCTTACCCATACACACACACAGATGCACACATAGATACCCGCCCCTACCATCTTCCCCCAAATCTCAGCTTGGAGAACCCACAGCCCCACCCATGGCATAAGCTCAGGCATGTTCTCAGCCTCACTGGAGCAGGGTATGTCACGTGGGAAACCCACCACCCGACTTTGTGGCACAAGTCTGGGTGTGCCTCCAGCCTTGCCAGAGCTGTGTCATTGATGCAGAAATCTCTATCATGACCATGGAACCCAGTGTACCCACTCATGTCACAGACTGGGGCAGTGGGGCCTCAGCTCCACCCTCCCGGGAGATGTGCCATGGAACAGCAGCTCCACTGTCTGTAATCCTGTCCCACTGATGCCGTGAGCTAGGACACATTCTCAGCTTGCTGGAAGACACTATGCACACATCCATAGGTGCTCCCCCTCCTCTCCCCTGCCCCAACTCACCTTTGAAGTCAGGCAGGTGCGCAAAGGAGTTCCCGAGGCAGATGACTGCATCAAACCCATCCCCTGGCTTCTCCAGGTCCTTCTCCAGTGTGAGCCAGTTGGCCTCCTCGATGACTGCAGCACAGGGAAATGGATGAGGACAGGGACACCCAACAGCCTCCCCTGCTTGCAAGACCCCATCCCAGCGTCACCCAGCCCTTCCCAGGCCCCTGTGGGTGCTGCCTCTGGCCTCTGGCCAGCAGCCAGACAGACGAGGACCATGGCTTGTTTTGCAGAGCAGCTGGCACTGGCAGGTCCCCGCAGCAAGGCCACCCGGCCAGCAGCAGTCCCAGATGAGTGGCCTGAGCACTGCGAGGGGCCATGGACAGTGCGCTGGGGGAGAGTGTCAGTGTCCGCAGACCCCTCCCGGCCCCCACAGCCCTCGCACCCCATCGGTCGAAGGGCTCCTCCTTGCGCCGCTCCCAGCGCTCCTTCAGCGCGTACTTGAGCATCTTGTCGCTGGCATCGACGCTGGTCACCTGGAAGCCCTCCTCGAGCAGCATGATGGAGTCCACCCTGGGGACATGGCTGTCAGCGGGGCCGGGGGGCAGCTGAGGGGGCCGGGGGGGGGCTTGGGGGAGGAGGGCACTGGGGATGGCCGGGGGCAGCGAGGCCCCGGGTAGGGGAAAGGGACACCTGGGAGGCGGGCGGGAGAGGAGCGCGGGGCCTCACCCGGTGCCGCAGGCCACGTCGAGGACGGAGCGGCAGCGGTGCTGGCGGAGCAGCGCCAGGAGCCAGCTGCGGTACTCGGCCGTGCGGCCCCGCGTGTCCCCGATGTACAGCTGCCACACGCGGGCCGCCCGTCCGTCCGCGTACTGGTCCGGCAGCCCCTCCGCCCCCACTCCCAGCGACCGCGTCCGGTACACGCTGTCCACCATCCCGCCGCCGCCGCCGCCACGGACCCGGACACCGACACCGCCGCGGCCCCTCAGCCTCGCTGCGCCGCGCCCCCGCCGCGCCCCGCCCCCGCGCTCCCACCAATCCCCGCCGCGTCCGCCCCCGCGGCCCCACCAATCGCCGCTCGCGCCGCGCCCCTCCCGCCCCCGGCCAGGCCACGCCCCCCGGCCACCGCCCCGCCAATCCGCGCCGCCCGGCAGCGCTCGCGCCGCGCCCCCTCACGGCCCCGACCTTTGCCTCGGCGGGGTCAGGGCCCGGCCCGGCCCGGCCCGCGGGACCCGCCCGCCCCTCACCGGCCTCCCCGGGCCGCAGCAGCGCTGATCCCGCACCCAGCAGCAGCAGAAGCGGGGCCGGCAGTGGCGGCGGCGACTCTGGGGAAAACGTCTTTATTTACAGTCCCGGCGGCGTGCGAGGAGCCGGCGGCGGGGCAGCACTCGCGGCCTCCCAGAGCTGGAGCCCCCGGCAGGGATGTGGCAGGTCTGGGTCCGCGGCTCCGTGACACCTAAGCACGGGATGGCACCCAGGCTGGCAAGGCGGGGCCAGGCGCTCCGGTCTCCCCCGAATCACAAGTCCCTTTTCCTTTGGTACCCATAGGCACAGCGGGGTGAAACCCCGGAGTGGTCGGCCCCGGGGGCAGGGGCTGCGTGCCTACAGCTCATCAGCTGGGCTGTGGGTGAGCGGAGCCTGCTCCTGGACCCCCTCCAGGGCCTCCCCTGTGTCCGGAAGGCTGGCAGCTCCCTCGCGCTCATCCTTCTGTCCCTTTTTCTTCTTCCCGCTCTTTTTTTTGCTCTGCTTCTCCCCAACGCTTGCCAAATCACCCTTCTTGCCAGTCCACTTCTCTGCCAGGCAGCCTAGGGAAAAGAGAAGAGAGGGGCAGAGGGGGCTCTGATGGAGAGGCAGGGCTTCCCATGCTTTAGCAAGGCTCCCCTACCCTCACAAGCGTTCCTGCATTATTTCAGCCCCTGGCAGCAGCCAGGACTTACTTGTGTCCTTTCCTTTTAGCACGTGGTTGGCACAGAGAAACTGGGAGAGGTCCTCTGTCTGGTGGTGCCTGTACCAATCTTCTATCACATCTTCATACTCCTCTACCAGCACATCGCACTACGGCAGAGAGGAGAGCTCAGCTCCAGGCATATGCTGGTGTGTGGCAGGACCAGGGTCAGGCTCCTGCCACAGGTCCTGCCAATATCCTGCTCCCAGCAGCGCACCCCTGGATGCTCTCCCCCCAGCACTCCAGCCTAAAAGGTCAAAGCAGCCACTGAGGGCCAGTCCCATGGGGCAGGGTACCTGCTTTTTGAGGTCAGCCACCTCAGCGGAGGTCTCGTTCCACAGCTCGTAGGGGATGTCCATCACCACCTTGACACCCTTGTGCACCAGATTGTGCAGGGTCTCGAACGTCTCTGACATGCCCTAAGGGAGGGAGCAGCACTGCCTGGTGAGGTGGTGCTCCTCCTGCAGGGCTCCCACTCTCCTCCCCGTGCCAGCCACAACCCCGCTCAGCCGTGCAGGAATGTGCAAGCCAGATCCCTCGGACATCAGCGTTACCAGGGGGGAGTTCAAGTGGCAGCTAGTCCCCATCTGCAAACCTGGTCCCAAACCCAAGGGGAAGAAAGCCCCTGGTTCCCTCCATACAGGCAGAAGCCTGCCCACTGCCACCAAAGACAGCACCCCACATCTGACTTGGGGGACAGCGTGGTCTCGCATGCCAGGCACTAGAAGGGGATCCAGAGGATGGGAAGAATGAACCTGGTTTGGCACTCTGGCAGTGAAGGGATGGGTGAGGCATATTTGGGAGCAGGAACTGAAGGAACAGCTGTCACCTTTGCGAATCTGTTACTGCCGCTCCTCTCCTTGTGCAGGTTGTAATCCAACAGCCTCTTGCAGATGTTCTCTGTCACCTCAATTAACCGGATGTCCCTGCATGGAGAGGAGGAATGGCTCAGGCTTGGCGTGGGCCTCCAGCAACAGCTAAGGCACAGGGTGAGCCTCCCAAAGCCTCCAGCTCTGGAGGCAGCGACAGCAACAGGAGACTCCCATCCCACTCCCACTTACGACTGTGTGTACTTGACAGCAGAGCCCTTCCCATCCAGGAAGCCGTACTTGGTGTCGATCACCTCCTTGGTCTTGCCAGTCTCCTCGAAGGCGGATTTCAGCTCCACGGCTACATACTTGCACACTGTGGGAAGGAGAGAGCACAAATGGTTTAGGGGGTGTCACTGTTCTGACAGGCAGCGTGACCAGAGCACCTGGGACAGCAGCAAGAACCAGCCCCAGGAACTGGGCACACCAAAGCTGCTGTGAGCACAAAACACATCTTGGCCATCCAAAGAAATAACCTGGAATGGCTCAGCTGCTTCCACTGGAGAACGCTTGAAGCAGGAGCACCCAAACCAATGCTTCAGTGTAAACCAGCTGCTGTGGCACAGCTGGGAAGTCACATAGGCTCAGTTCTGCCTGCAGCTTTCCCCCTAAAAACCTCTATTTCCCTGCCACTTCTCCCTTTTAGAAGAGCATGGCATCTTTTTGCAATGCAAGTCCCAGTGTGGCTGAGCTTCTCCTCGTGATGACAGCACGTTCCACCTGGTACTGGTTCTGTGCTCTCACTGCTCTGGGGACACTGGGGCTGTGCTGGGGACTGAGCAGCTGGCAGGGCTCGGTGGCCTGGGTGACAGGACAAGGTGCTGGCTGTGAGCTCCAGCAACACAACCTGGGGCTCTGCCTGCAGCAGAGACCATATCATCAACAGATTTAGAACACAGTGTGTGGTTATTTTTATAAAACTAAAAAGAAAAAAGCTTTATTTCTTCTCTAAAAAGAGCCCAACACAGTTATAGAAACAGACAGCAGGAGAAATATCTCAGGGGTTTACAAGTGGGAATGGGGAGGAATGGAAGCCAGGCATGGTGTGGCCATTCCTGCCCCAAAGATGGGATCTCAGGAGACTGGAGAAAGCTTTGTCCAGTGCTGTGGGGTCCTGTTTGTCAGGAGCCACCTCTTCTTCGAGCTCCGCTTTCAGAGAAGGACCAAACTCCAGCAGGAAATGGTTTGACAGCAATGAGCCACTGTCTTCTCCCAGGCAATTATGTGAGTTGAGAGATGACCCAGGCAGGAAAAGAGCAAGGTGGCTTCTCCAGAGCTCCTGCACGTGTGTTGATAAGCCCTGTGCACACCTCCTGCATGGTCCTTTCTCTGCTGGCATCAGGGGCTGGAGAAGATTTGTGGCCATTTCTCAGGTGAGATGATCGTTCCTTCCCGCAGCCTCTTGGAACTCGGGCCTCAAGGATGTCCCCCTCCACACCACACCTGCTGCTGGTGTGCTGCACCACACACATGCCAGGAGTGCTCACTGCTGAGTCCAGTTATCCAGATGCTTCCTGCAGCTTTTGCTGTGCACTGACACAGATTCCAAGCCCAAGCAGGAAGAAGAGCAGAGTGTGGTCAGTGTTTGCGCTGATGCTTCTCTGAGGCTACGCTGATGCCACAGCAGAACTCGGACATCAGCATCCCCAGAGCTGCTTCCCCAGCAGGGAAAGCTTTGTAAAGAACTCCCTATTTATTTTTTAAAAATTTTCTCTTTGCTGTCCAGCTCCACGTGCGCTTGCACAGCAAAGACAGAGGAAACCGCATCAGGCAGCAAATGTCCGTCATGATCTACACTGGATTGCCTGTGAACCAAAGGGATACTCAGATTGGAGGCATCACGGAGACCGAACTGTAAGTAGCACACGCGACCAGTCCCAGTTACGAACCGGCAGGCGATCAAGTGACTGCCGGGAACAGCGGTGCCCGCGGGCAGGAGGCGGGCAGAGGGGCAGCCCGCGGGGGCGCAGCCCCGCACCAGCGACCTCCGGCCCGAGCAGACAGCAGGCGGCGGCCGATCACCCCGGTCCCCCGAGGCCCCGCTTACCCTCGCACTTGCTGGGCAGTCGCACCCAGTCCGAGTCGTCGCCCCCCGCCAGCGCCGCCGCCATCAGCAGCATCAGCAACGCTGCCCCCGCCGCCGCCGCCGCCATGACTCCGCTTCCGGGGCGCGCTCCCGCCCCGCCACGCCCGGTTACCATGGCGATCCCGCCGCATCGGCCAATGCCGGAGGCGCGCGTGACCCGCGTGACCAATCCCCGCCGGCCGCCGCCAGCCAATCCCAGCGGCGCGCGGCCCCCGTAGCACCGCCCCCGGGCGGTCCCGCCGGGCGCCCACGTGGGAAGGGGCGCGCACGTGGCAGCGGCCGCCGCTCGGGGTACCCACAGAACCTTCCGGGGCCCTTCCCTACCTCTGAAATTCCGGAAACTTTCCCCCCCCAGGTACCTTGTGGCCCCTTCCCTCTGATTAATTTGTGGTCCCTTCCCGTCCTTCAGGTAATTCCGGGGCCCTGCCACCCACATAAATGTGTCAGCCCTTCTTTCTTGTCCACTCAAGCCAAGATTCCCATCCTGCACCTCCCCCGGACAACACTGGGTCTCCTCCCTCCTCCATTTGAGGGTACTCTCTCCACTCTCCAGAATATTTCTAGTGACTTCCGCACCCCTACACCAAACCAGGGGGACTTACCCTTGGGCAACTGCCTGTACTCTCAGCTCTGGGCGAGGAGGATGGAGGTGAGGACAGCATCAGAGAGCAAGACCTTCAGCAACACCACACGGACAGCCATAAGCAGGGCTGCCAAGGCAGGGGCCGGTGACACTGCAATGGAAGGGTGAGGTGATGCCTGCCACAGACACCCCACTGCCCCCACATTCTCTCCAGGCCTGCCATGGGGCCACGTTTGGGCAGACTTGGAATCCTGACACATCCCAGAGACACCTCATGTCACCCTCATGCTGTCCCTGAGGGCAGGCTAGCTCTGACCCAGTTTCCCCATTCTTCCCAGCAAGGTGAAGCCACCCTCCCTCTTCCCGAGTCCCACAACACCGTGGAGAAAACCCATCCCAACCACCACACAGTCCCAGCCAAGCCACTGGCCAGGGCTTTCTCTCCAGACATTCCCACCAGGCAGGGGCCAGAGACTCACCAGCTGTGCTACACAGCTCTGCCGCCTCCTCATTGCCTGTGGGATAAAAGAGCAGCTGGGGAGGCACTGGCAGCCCAGCACCAGGTGTGTGGCAGTGCTGGCCACAAACCCCTTCCTGTGATCGAGACAGCAACGTTTGCCCCTAGGGCCTCACACCTGCTCCCTGCTGGCCCCAGAGGCCCTGCCAACCTCCCTCCTCGGGGGCACCAGTGCACACACCAGGCTGGGCAGCAGGGTCATACCCGTGATGCGGATGGGGCTGGAGCTGTGGGATGGAGAGGTCCTGTTGGCCCCCACATGGCAGGCAAGTTCCCTCTCGCGCGGGGCGTCACTGGAAAGGAGGGAGACGGAGCAGACGGTGCCACCATCCTCCTGGGAGGCCCCATAGGCAAAGGACTGCAGAATGCTGCCGTTCCCACCGGAGATCCAGACAGCATGGCCAGAGCTGGGGGCCAGGTCGCTCACCACGCACACGACCAGCTGCCGGCGCTGCCCAGCCAGCACCATGCTCAATGGCCGTGTCAGCGTAGGCAGTGGCACAGCTGCCCTGCCAACTGAGGGAGACAGCTTAGGGCCACTGCTTCCCTCACACATCCCACCCAGCACGGCCGCCACCTCGGCAGAGCTCAGCCTTTGCATCCAGACTGGATGGCACCCGGCTTTTCCACCTCCTGGGTCTGCCCTGGGGGTACTCACGGGGCAGGAGCGGGAGCAGAACGGCAGCCAGCAGCACTTGGAGCAGCTCCATGGCAGCTGCAGCGGATGGGGCTGCCAAGGCTCAGCCCCCAGCCGCAGCTCCAGCTGCGCCGCCCACCGCCGGGTCTGCGGAGCCGGGGCTGGCGCGGCGCTCCCCCGCCGCTGGTTCGGCTCCGCTCCGCCCCGCCGGGGTCGCTGCTCCTTCCCGGTCGCACCACAGAGCGAGTCCCGGCCTGAGGGTGCCGGCCCCTCCGCGCCTCGCCCCCGGGGACACCCCCAGAGCCTCCCGCCCGCCAAGCCCCGGGAGCACCCCCGCCCCAGCACGGCGCTGCCGGCAGGGGAAGAAGAAACTACACAAGAACTCTGGGCACGCAGGGTACGGCTGCCCCCGGGGCACACGCTCTGCCCCGCGGTCGATGGGGCGGGCAGAGGGGAACGGAGGACGCCTGGGAAAGAGCGGGGTGGTAGCTGCTGTGGACTTAGGGAGAGGACAAACTCCAGTCCTACAATATCCATGCTGCACATTCACGAGCCAGACTGGAAATGTCTCTGCTTTATTCTTCTTCAGCCAAATGCACCAAAACAAACCCCAAACCCCAGCACCACTCAGCTTGGTGACACTGAACACTTCCAGGACACACCTGGCAGAAGAACCTTGGTTACTTGCAGTCAAGGCTGTGGCTTCACACAGCAGAACTTTGTGCCACCTTCTTTATGACTCATGGCACATGTATTGAACAAAACATGTACAGTAACTTTAACATGAACACATTGTTAAGGCATACGGTTTTCAAATACTTTTCCTGAAAAAAAACAACCAAAAATATTTTTTGTAATTTCCAGCATTCACTTCATGATGTTTTATGACCTCTTCAAACCTAGTTTCAGCCTGCACTCAAAGAACCCCATCACTCTCAACCCAGGAGCTTGGGTGGAGCAGCAATATTGCATGATTTTCATACATTCATTCACTCAGTAGCTGGTGATCCTTTAGATAGTCCAAACAAACCAACAGAGACATCTTTCATTGCCCTACAGCTTGGCAACCACCCTGTCACAATACAAACATCAAATTAATCTTGAATTCTTTTGAAGAACCCGAGAACTGATTTAATACCTGAAACTCAGGGACAAGGACAAGACTTGATACATGCCTCCTCCCTCCAACTATCACCCTGCCAAGGACCAAGCTACTCCACATTGAGCTTTGTTTTTATGTTCATGGCTGCCAGCTCAGCCACAAAGTAGCGGAAGACATGGGGCACAGGGACAACCTCGATGGTGTCCACCTGGCTGCAGAGGGAGCAGGAATACCTCCTGCTGCTGGTCACAGAGGATTGGGACAGTTTCTCCAGCACAGGGGATGTCAGGCTGCCACAGCTTGTGCACACATAGGCTACGGAGCCGTCAGAGCAGTTGAACAGGCGGTCCTGCAGCAGGAAGGACGTGCCATGGGCCAGCAGAGCATCCCGCTCCATCTCGCCGAAGCGGATCCCACCTTCCACATTCCTCCCCTTGACAGGCTGGTTGGTGACAGCATCTCGGGGCCCCGTGGTCCTCACCTGGAACTTGTCAGAGACCATGTGGCGCAGGCGCTGGTAGTACACCACACCCACGAAGATCTCTGCCTCCAGCTCCACCCCGCTGATGCCGCTGTACATCTTCTCTGTCCCAAAGAAGTTGTAACCCGCACTCGCTAAAGTCTCACCGAAGTATTTCAGAGCAGACTTCTTCTCGGTGAAGGTGAAGGGAGTGGCATCATAGGAGACCCCATGCAGGGCTGCTGACTTCCCCGCCATGCTCTCAATTAACATCCCAATGGTCATGCGGGAGGGAAAGCCGTGAGGGTTGAAGAGGATGTCTGGAACCATCCCGTTCTCTGTGAAGGGCATGTCCTCAACGGGCCAGAGCTGGCTTAGGATGCCTTTCTGTCCGTGACGGCTGGCAAATTTGTCTCCAACAGTGGGATTTCGGGGAACCCTCACAGTGATGCAAGCCTTCTTGAACTTCCCAGTGCCACGGTCATTGCTGCACAACCTAACGTTGTCCACAATGCCCACTTCTTTACTCCTGTGTAGGAATCATAGCAAAGGTGTCAGGTTTGCTAACAGTTTTTAGTTTTGAAAGGAAAATGAAACAAAAAACCTAAACCTCTTATCAAATGCCTTGGGACAGCTGAGAAACACCACCATTCTTCAAAGTACTACTCAGTAGTGAGGGAACTTGGACTAAGAATCAGGGCAAGGAAGCAATACAAAGGCATCTTCCAAGTGCCATTCAGGTACCACTTTCAGGCAATCAGCTAATGTGCCATCCATGATTTAAAATAAGCATCATTTCAACTTGGTTCATCTGTATCACACTTTGTATCTGATAAACTGCACCCCACTGCCATTTCCATTGTATTAAGGCAGCAGCTCCTTTCCCTACCACCAATAAATTTACACCATACTGATGGGATCCTAAAATAAAGAACCCGATTTCAGTTCTTCAGTAGAGAGGGAAGTTCAAAACAGAAAGGGAAGGCAAAGTGTGAGGTTTGACAAGTGCCTTGTTCAGGGGTGTGCTCCTTCTCCAAATGAGCCCTCAGCCTGACATTCCATGTACCAGGGGTCTGCTGCAGGCTTAACTGTTACCATGTCCACATACAACCAGCACAGGCAAATCACTGAAAAAATATCCTCTTGGGATAAGCCAGCTCTGAAGCACACACTGGCTTAGAGAAAATATGTGATACATGCCTGGGAGTCACCTAAAGCATGAACTTCATGCTTTCTGTGATGCCATGGACACTATTATGTGAGGAGAAAAGGGAACATCTGCAGGGAAAGGGCCAACTGCTCTCCCCACAGGGTGCGCAGGGACAGGAGTGACAGGCTGACTTACGGATAGTACACAGTGAAGGTCTCCCCTGTGTTGAGGTTCATGAAGCTGTAGAAGGGGTCCCCAGGCTGCAGGATAGACCCAACAAAAGGCAGTCCATCAGCATCCAGCTTCTCCCCAGTGTTTGGATCGTTAGGCCTGATGCCAAATACTAAATTATCGCCTGCCCTGCTGGCTTTAAGGGAAAGGTCAATGCTCTCCACCTTGATAACACTTCCATAAGCAAATCCTCTCTGCCAGGAAGATTTATTTACAATCTAAAAAGAAGAAACAAAAACCTATTAAAGACTTGCTGAAAACTTCAAAAAAGAAAATATTTACAAAGGTAAGCATCAGATCAAAATGGGAACATTGTCTTTTTAAAGCCTCCCAGTAAGTCACCATTACAAAAAGCTCAAGCCTTGTGTAACTCCAGTATTTTTCAAAGCTGGAAGGCCACTGCCTTGGACAAATGAAGCTCTGCTCTACTCCCAGCACCTCCAGCATTGCCTACTGTAACAGCACAACCACTGTGCTGCTGAATCTGCCCAAAAAGTGTGAGGACCAGCAGAGATAGAAAGTGTGGGTTTTCAGCTGAATATCACACCTACTCCCATGCCCCCCATCAAATTCCTTCAGAGGACAGTGGGATTTTTCTTCTGGTGGCTTACCATTGCATCTTCCATGTCATAGCCACTGTAGGAGATGACAGCCACGATGGAGTTGGTGCCAACAGGATAGCTGTCCATCCCATAATAGTCATACATGCTGGGCCTCACCAGAGGGCTCTGGGGGGTGTGCAGGTGGTACAGCTTGTTATCCGAGCGATCCTTGTAGTTGTAAACAGGAAACCCCATGGTCTGCTTTCCTGGAGGGAAGGACGGAAACCTGGGATTTATTTCTCTGTGTATCTTTACATCTTTATCTCTGTGTTAAGAAAAAAGCTGGAAATACTTACTAATTTAGAGGGATTATCAATCTTAAACCCCTTGGAATTTAGTAATTACCCTAAGTCTGGCTATAATTTTGCTATGAACCACAATATTCAATTCCTTTCACAGCATTTCATAAGGATTACATCTAATTTTGTTTTCTTTTCTGAAGATTTGTTTTCTTTTCTGAAGTTTCAAAATCTCCACTAAGGATGGTGTGCTGTTTCTGGTTTTGCTTACTTGGGAAGTTTATTTTTGTGTGGTTTTTTGTTTTGTCATTTTTGGGGAGATGTATGTGTGTCTTCTCCCCAGTGTTTCCCAGAGTGAAGCCCATGTTACGTATTTCCAGGCCAAAAAGCATTTGCTTCTGCAGCATCAATATCCTGGCAAGGGAACTGAATTTTGAACAGTCATATTGCTATTTGAAGAAAAGTATAAGAAAGAGGCAGGGTTTTAAGGACACCTTTGTGATAATACTGTCAGAAATTCAATGCATCAGAGGTGTTAATGAAGTGCTAATCCCCTTGTTGCCCAGGGTCTTGCAGCATTGGGTACTACAGCGCTTACCCATCTGGCACTGGTACATGTTCCGTGGACTTTGGTTGTGGTCGGAGAAGGGAATGAGATTGGCCACCACGCTCAGAATACTGTGAGGGAAGAGTTCCTGGTGAGTGGTCACTCCAGGCACCACCTCTGACTCCATTGTTGCCACATTCATGAAGATCTGCAAACATCAAATTGGATAATGCTTGTTCACTTCCTTCTTTTAAAGGGAAGGAAAAAACCCAAAGCTGTCTCTGATGGCTTTCTATCCATTCCAGTTTGAGCTGTGATTGTTGTCTGCACTGTAGTGTATTAGCAAACAAATCAGACAGCTGGGAAACCACTATCACAGATTAGCTGCAAGGGAAGAGAGCCTGAAATACAGAACTGCAGTAATGTGTCTCCTTTCTGTCTCCCACTTTAACAGTAAAGTGGATGAGCTCCCCAGCAATCCACTGCTTGGCTGCCCAGGGGCCATTTGGTGAACATCTTGTAGCACAAGATGACATGGTACACACAACACAGCAATCCTTCGCCTCAAGTCTTCACAGAGTTAATAACTGAGGCAAGATTTGAAGACCTTAAAAAGATCTTTACAGTTCAGCTATGATATTTACCAGAAATAGATTTGCAGGAGTGAAAAACCCCATTTTGTCACCTATTCTAGCTCTTCAACACAAGCCTCATCCTCAGCTCCTTTCATAAATATTTTCCAAATCTATTTTTGATGCCAGATACCGCCGCAACATGGGAATATGCAAATCCCACCTGTTCCAGAGTCCCAATCCATTCATTTTTTCCATAGGACAGGTTCCTGACAGGCCGCACCATCCGGCAAGGGTTAGTGAAAATGAACAGCCCAGGATACAAGCTGGGTTTTCCTGTCATTGGGATAAGGACCACTTCTGCCCGTGCAGGAAATCTCTTCTCTTGTGTTATCTGTTGGTGCAAAGAAATAACAATCTAGAAACACAAACCAAGTTTAACTAAACTGCATTCACCTGGTCACACAATGAAAATGTCAACCACAGGTGTAGCCACTAATAAAAAGCTGTGGAGAAGAGTTCTTAGAAATACTTTCAGAAAAACCTCCAACTCCAAAAAAAAGACAGAATATGTCTTATCTTACCTTCTCCAAGCAAAGGTTCTTTCAAAAATTGTAACTTCATAAACCAACACATGAAACATATGAATAAAAAAAAAAAAAGGTAACACAAAAGCACACTTCATTACTAATACACAACCAAAAATAACTTACTGGGTCAGATTAAAAAAAAAAAAGAAAGAAATGGATGCCTAAGAAATTCTAAACATTCCTGTTTTTGACCACTGCATGTTGAAGATGTTTAGCTAAGAAACATCTTAGCCAACAACAAACCTTGAAATGGCGGAGGGTTTCTGCAATCTCAGGAGCCAACTCCCTCTCTACCCAGCCCACCATGGAGCCATCCAGCACAACTCTGTAGCACTCTGAGTAAGGCTGGCTTGGAGCTGCATCAATGGGGGTGACACCTGTGGGAAGAGGGGGGTTGATGGAAGGAACAGCCAAAAAAAAGCAAACAAAACACAGAAATTATTTCTGCACTTCTCAGCTGAAACCAAGAAACCTTCTGAGACATCAAAAAATTCTTGGCAAAGCCATAGACAGGTTCAATGGAAAATTAAAAGCATTTACAGCTTAGAATGTCATTCCTCTCCCCATTTTTCTGACTAAAATAAGGATTGTCATTCACAAGTGAACTGCAGTTCAAGTATTTACAATGTTACCGCTTAGTCCAGTTTCTCAGAGCTGTGAGAAATACCTTGTGCAATTCCTTGTCCTTCAGGGAACATGCTCACAACTACAGCACACAGCTGAGAGACACTGACATTGAATTTTACAGGCTGATGTGCCTGTACAAGCAATGTGTTATTAACCACTAAGCAGAAGCCCAGTATGTACAGGTCAAACTTGACTTCACCTTCTCAACTGAGCAGTGTTCTGTGATGCTGTGTGGAGAACCTTTCCCAGTTATGGGGCTGCAGGGCAGGGAGGTAAGAAAGGAGAACACTTCGCTGAACCACCAGGCCAGTGAAACATACCCAGGGAACATAACAAAGGTGGAATGTCTGTCACGGGCACCATCTCGGTGACGATTTCACACAGAGCTGTCATGTGGTTCATCAGCCCACAGGGCTCTCCATCCGGGGTGTCCACGGGGCACAGGAAGCCCCAGGATTCGGGCAGCAGCTTGCGGACAGTCGTGGTTCTCATCTGGGAAAACGCTGCCCCTCTGTGTATGCAGCGGAAGTGGGAGAGGTAGCGGATGAAATTCAGCTTGTCCCCCACCACACAGAGACCACTGTCCTGCAACATGCCCAGCCCTAGGGAACAAAGGTGAGATTTATGTCAGGACCTCATCCAGCTTGAACAAATACAGGATGATGTTACAAGACAGCTTCTTATTTTTCACTGACAACCCCTAAAGATGCTCACATTGGATCCCAACAGGGGAGGTGCACGTGCACAGGCAACTCAGTGACCTGTAAGAGACCTAGAGACTTTAAATTCCAAGCTATTTGTTAAAATCTAGCTTCTTTTACAAACATGTGGATGTAATTGCCAGTGAAGTGACTAAGAATTTGCAGCTGGTATGTTTTACCAAAATTCTGCAGGTTTTTCATCTAATTTGATTTTCTAGTGGGCACTCCATTACAACACTGTCATACTGGACACTTCAGGGAAGCATCAGATAAATCTAAATATACATCAGCAAACCAGTTTCTCTCCATTTAAGCTCATATGACTAAGTGAAGTTCTGATTAAAAAATGCCCCTTCTCTGTCTTACATTGCACCTTCTAGGAAGAAATAACCTTTGGGAAAGCAAATCAAATTATGGTCACTGTTTTGGACAATGCTAAATTTAATTTCAATTTTTCATCTGGGCAGAGGCTTTGCTTTCATAACTAACCTGTTCTATACCATGCACAATGCCTATACTTGTGCATAAACCTTGCCTTTTTCCTTAACAATCCCTTTCTTCAAACCCCTTTTAGCAATTCAGTTACAGCGTACAAAGCCTGCCTACAAGCGGTTGTTTCCAGTTAAGAGCTCAATTTTACATTGTTTCTCATTCTGTTTTACAGGAAAAAAGGAAAAAAAGGCATCTTAAGCCTGCAGATTTACCTGTTTTAGACCGCAGGTTACCAGTTGCAAGCAGATACTCAAATGGCTTGGTGAAGTCTGGTGCCATGCCAAATGCCTTCACCAGGCTGTCTGTATTTAGGTTGATATTTGCCTTTTCCGCTTTTTTCTCCAAAACAAACCTAACAGATTGCAGCCAGGTTTCAAGCCTCTCCTACGGTTTAAAAGTGAGAGATTTAAAATTAAGACAGGACAGGAAAAGCTTGAATTAGAACATCAGTTCTAATATAGCACATCAGCTGCACATGCTACAGAGCTCCTCTAAAATTAGCAAGATGGACACCTTTTAATGAACTGACAGTTTTCCAGACTTATTTCCAACACTGGCTTCATTCTATCAAGATGTTGATGGTATATGTCAACACAGAACTAAAAGGAAAACACCCACCCAACAGCTTGGCAATCACTTCCACCCAGAATGGTGATGAATCTGGCAAATTAAGTACAATAATAAAATTTCATAAAGAACAGACAAAACCCAAATCAGAAATTGTACCCAATCTGACCACAAGGATAACTCTGCATACAGTGTACACTGTGTCTACTGTATGCTTTAGACTATTGAGGATCTTAGGATTAAAAAAAAAAAGGGCTGTTAACTCAGTCCCCTGCTGATCTGACAGCAAGGGCTAGACAGGAAAGCAACTTTTTCTAGTTCCTGGTAGCTGTTCTATATAGCACTAAAATGCTTCCCCAAGTTCACTTTAAAGCCACTCAAGTAGCAGGGAGTTTTTTACAGTCTTTCAACAAAACAATGCTAAAGAAAATTCTGGCTAAATGAAAAAAGAAAGATTAAAGAATTATGTAATAACACAGGGAAGTATCTTATTTGGGGATGAGAACTACTATTCCACAGTGAATTTCATGGGACACGACTACTCTCTTCCCAGCATCCTAAAGTGACATATCCCTATAAATTGAATTGGAATATATTAGTATTATACTAATATTATATATATACATAATACTAATATATATATTAGTATAATACATATATTATACTAATATAATATAATATATATATTACTAATATATACTATATACTACTAATATTACTATATTAGTAGTAAGTTACCTGTTTAAGTAAAAAGCATGTTTTTAACTTTCTGATCTGTAAAATATTTTAAAGATGTGGGAGCCATGACCTCACCTTTAAGAACATAAGGAAAAGCTGTCCTGGGGTAAGCACCTCATGATTCATGAGACTGTCTGGATTATCCTCCATGCACTCTCCTTTGGCAAAAGTATAGAGCTTCTGGGTCATCATACAGAGCAGGTAGAACTTCTCAGTTCTATTGGTCAGGTGAATGCAGATACAATTGCTGAAGGAAGAGAAAGAAGGAGGACAACCACCATGATCTCTTCATGCTAGCTTCATGTCCTTCAAGTTTCTCCTAAATAATTGTAAACCATTTTTTAAAATAAAAAAGCCTAAACAACAAGGCTTAAGGCAAGATAAACAATGCAAGTAGATGTAAACTACAAAATATTTCTGTTAGCACTATCAGTGTCCTGCCACAGAAACTCCAAATCTCCACTGTTATCAAGCCATGTATGGAAAACTGTGAGCTGAGCAACAGCCTAGCACAAAGAAAAAAGGAAAACCATACCTAATTCCTTAAGCTGGAGGAAGAGCAAACACCTACCTTACCAGAAAAATGAATTTTTTAGTTGAATGCCTGCTACACTGACAGTCTTAAAGCAAATTCTTCCTCTGCTTTCTAACTTATTTAATGAAAGAAGAATTTAAAACATTTCTTTTCTGCTTTTTTAACAGATAAAAAAGTTATTCAGAATTGACAGAGATTGTGTGAAACTGGCAGTAAACTACAGTATTTCTGTTCAACAAATGTATCCTCAAGCAGTCACAGAGATAGCTTTAACCTTCTCTTCCTCAACCTTTGTGTTTTTCATGAATGACATCACAAAAATTCCATTTAAATAAAAACTGTCACCCTCTTGTGAAACTATTTTGGGAATACTTGTGTCAAACCATTAGAATACACATAATCATAATACTCTCACATAGGCCTATAAATTCAACACAATGACACTGGATCACATCCACATACAGACCTCAGAATGAAATCTGCAGCCTGTTCATTGCTGTACCACTCAGGCAGGTTGAGTTTCACTCTGAAGCTCTTTCCCAGGTAATCCAAGACGTTTTGCTGTGTCAAACAGCCGGCATCCACCACTGCTCTCATCATCTCAGTAACACAGTTCACATAAAAGGTGTCATCTTCCCTTCCTTTCACCAACTCTTCAAAAATCTGGTAGTCTGGGAAATTAACTAATGCCTGAGAGACAGAAGTTTATCAGAACAGAAAAATAAGGTTGTAACAACATCTGTCTACAAAATACAACTAAAGAACTAAGGCACCCCATGATTTAGGTTTTCAGTGCTCTAGAAATGCCTTTCCACAATGAAAACTGCAAAATGCCGTGGGGTTGAGATGCTTAGAGAGTAATCCAGGGGATATTCATACACTGATAATGATCTCCATTCAGACCATTCATTAGAAAAAAACCCACAAAACCATGAGGGTGTGACTCTCCTCTCATCTCTTGTCCCTGCAGTAACTTTCTCTGCTGCAGACTGTTTGACTGCAGTGTTACACAGTTAGGATCACCTTTCTCCAATCAGAATAGGAAGGCTGACTGAAAATACTCCAAGTGGTATTAGCTTCTTCTCATTACTTAAAATAAAAATGCTTTGCAGAACTTCTGTATTTATTCAATATAGAAACCAGAAGCATTCACTGCTTACCTTCAGAGCAAATCCCAAGGGGAGGAAGAACAACTCTTTGCGAAAAATGAAATTCACCATGACACAGCCATTTTCCAAATAGTGAAGGTTCATATTTATTGCAGTATGCTCATCCTTGACACAGTGCATCACCACCCCTGCAAATATCACAACATCAGCATAAGCTGCACTAAACCAAGTGGATGCATCACTGTGTCATGCCCAAAGGGGTGTGAGACAATTCATGAGAGAAATGTTGGTACTTGATGGCTGAGAATACCAGGCAGATCGCTCACAACAGTGTCAGTTTCAAATAAACACACCAGCTCAACTCAGCCCTTAGCTAAAGAGGGCTGTGCCTCAAGACAGCCAGCACATTTGCTTGGAAGATGCAGAAAGTTCTTAAGGAAAGCCCCAGCCTCAGTTATCCTGTTTGTAACCTTCAGTTGTAGGACATAGTAACACACAAGTATAGTTCCTAATTCCACTCTTATCTCTGTGTTTGGGTGGCAGTGCTGCAGCAGTGTTTCCTGGTCCTGTTCCATGCTATCCACTGCAGGACAAAGACAAATAAAACAAAAAAGGACCATCTAATCTGGCACTGCCTTGAAATAAACTAGTGTGGAACTACAGTGTGTGCTCAAGCACCATGGTCCAGGCAAATCAGCAACTAGCAACACCCGAGTTTAAAATGCTATTTAACATTTTCTGGCTTAATTAAATTTTAAACTGGTTTTGCTGACTATAAACGACAAAGGGAAGGTGCAGCCATGCACCATAATTTTACTCTGCTTCATGGATATTAAATCTGCCTCCATGAAGTATTGACAACATCAGTGAAATGAGTTCAGTGGATTACACTGACTTGTACTGAACGTGGGGTTTTAGTTACACTGTCCACAGAACAAAAGGTGACAAGTACTGCAAAGCCTGGAATAAAATCTCCTCACTCCCCACGGGTAGCTCAGACAGCTCCCACAAGGCAAGTCCCTGCTTCTCGCTTTTTCCACCATGGTGGTGTGTTTACCCTTTATTTGTATGTGCAGAAAAAAATATTAACATTACACAAGAACTGTAACAAAACAAACTACCAAAATTCAGCCACAGATGGTCACTCCTGTTTGTCCTCCAGCAGTTGTTAGTAGGATGCTGCAGAAACTGCTGAGCTTACCATACTCTGTGAAACCAGGGCCTCTGTTTTTCCACTTGTGTCTTGTCATCGCAAGCGGGAAGTTTCGCCTGGGCATAATCAGCATCCTGATTACTTTTTCTAATCCATTGATTATAAAGTAGCCTCCCATTTCCTGGCAGGAGAAGAAAAATCATTTTAATATACTTAGAAACTCAGAACCGGCATTGTGAGTAAAAGAAAAAAATGCCTGCATTATACATGAAAACCAAACATTTAATGGGAAATAGCAAGACATGATTCAGCACTGCTTTTGGAAAGGCTGCACTCCTTAGCAGGGACTTAGGAAGTCTAAACGTAGCAGAGTGCAAGGAAAAGGATGCATGCTCCACAACTTAAGAGAAAGAAAAAACCTTTGTGATCAGTGAAGCATCTCTGAAGAGCTGACATTAACTTTTTAAAGCATGCACTCTGAAGTTGTCATTTTGAGTTTATAAACCAGAAGGATTTTCAGAGCAAAAGATCTTTGTCTGGTCACATACAAACTTACTTTTCTGATTTTCTTTTGTAGTTTGCTCTCTCTTTTTCTGTGAGTTCAAAATGCAGCACTAAATAATTCTGTTTTCAAATACAGACAGCTAACATGCTACGGGGGAGACAGGGAAAAAGCTGCAGAAGACAATTAGGAATGGAAATGTCTCTTTCAGGGCCTGTTCTCCAAATCTTTCTCTCTGCAGAGTCCCCTTCACAGCACTCTCAGCTGCTGTGTAGCAGTCGAGAGGTTCTGTACCAAAACTGTAGGTACTGACACTAAGCAGATCGCTCAGTTCAACAACAGCCACAGCTGCAAACTTCTCAAGCTACTTTATCAAGCCCCCAAAAAGTATCTGCTTTCAAGAGAAAATGGGAAGTCAAACTTGATACAAAATATAAAAGTTGAAGCCACTTGAAACAAAATATAAATGTTCAAGCCCACAAAGAGAAGTTGACCGGAGGGACTGCTCAGGTAAAACACAGACTTCCCTGACCCTCAAAATCCCCGTTACCTCTTCCTCCTCATGGTGCTGCATAAGGTCTTGTGGAGAAAAACCACAGAGGTTGCACAATTTGGACTTCACCATGATTGGAATATACCCTAATGGCTGTTTGATAGTCCCTTGTGGCATGTCATTCACTGACCAGCTGATGTCGGCCTAAAACGATACAACACCAACAGTAAGCAAGTTAAGTTGCTCTTTTATTATTTCCTGCTATATTACCTATACCTTTCTTACAACCACAAGCAGTTGAACAGACTTGTATCACCATAAAATGGTAGTAATAATAAAAAGAGACAGTAGATACATGCATAAAGATTACACTCTGGGGAACAGTCATCGTGGGTTTACAGAAGAAAATCATACAAGTCTAGAGTCAGGTAAAGAAGCTGCTGTGTGAGCCAACAGGGTTGGTCTGGCCTCCTTTGTCTTTCACACCCTTCAACAGAGCAGCCTAAATAAAAAAAGGCAGCCACAGGATAGGAAAGGAAACGTCACGAGGTAACACTTAGAAGCAGAAGAGAGCAAGTGTTCAGTGAAAAGACATCTACACTACAGGCCTGACAAAATCTTTCCTTTCTTCATTTAGCATGCTCATGAGTAACCTGAAAAGCAAAAAAGAAAAGCATGCAGGAAAGAAAATTTATTAATAAGTTCTGGCAGTGGGTCAGCAGGAAGACTGTAGGAGCAAACAATCCTAACTTTTCGTGCAGAATGATGGGCTTTGAAAGAGCTGCTGTCCTGCAGGGAAGAAACATTGGCACTGCAACACAAGAACATGGGTTCAACACCTGGCAGCAGCTAAAAGGAGTAAACTGAGTCTCAGAAATTACTGGAAAAGGGAAGTTAAATGCTACTGTGCTCCTTTAAATCGATGGGGTAGCCTTACACAGGGACTGCTGCAGTCTGTTCTACACCTGAAGTGATGATTAAGGGTCTACAGCTGCTCAGCAGAATGGGGATCACATCTTACCCTGAGGGAGGGATATGGAGGTAAAGGAACACGGTGGAAACAGGGAATGATTACTGTTTTCAGCTGTGCATGGGCAAGGATGGAGAGAGGTTAACCTGTCCCAGCACAAGGCACTGCCTTCTCACACAAGGCACAGCAAACTGTTCTAACTGCTCCAAGAATTCAAAAAATACTTAAACATACAGACAATGGGGGAAAAAAAAAAAAAGAGACAGGAAATAGTTCAGGTAAGAAAAATAAAATCAGCTCTAGCTCAGGAAAATCTAAAGTCGATTGGGAATACAGCTATGAACAACCTGCACTGCCCCACTTATATTTTCAGATAAGGTACTGCACTTAGAGCAGCTTTTATCATAGTAAGATGTACAGCTTCAGAGAAATAATAAATAATAAAAAAAAAACAACAAAAAAGAGAACAAGCGAAAACCTGAAATTCCAAGCAAGCATTCCCTTGCACCAGGTGCCTCACATAAACAATCAGCTCGGACATAACTACACCATTTTAATAGAAAACAGCAATGTGCAATCCTTTCACACTGCAAAGGAAAATACTTGCTGGGGATGCTTCCTCTCTAGGCAAATTTCAAAGCACGTCAGGAAAACCAGGAACCTATGAACAGGAGAGATTTATAAACTTCCGTATGGCAGCAACGCTGCTTTTGAAACCTGGATTCCTGCAGAAACAAGATTTGGATGATGCCGCTCTCTGGGATGACACGGGTCTCCATCCAAGGTCTTACAAGCTGGCTGGCTGCTTGCAGGGAGAGAAACGTGACACGGGAAAGAAGGGCAGCTGGTCCGGGACCACTGACAAGCTTGATGTGCGGGAAAAAACAGCGAGGCCGCTTATCACCAATACCCCAGAGCCCACGCGGGGCAGCGCTCCCTGAACACCCCGTGAGACCGGTGAGCCGGGAAGGGGCCTTTAACCACAGCACAGGGTCGGGACAGGGACAGGCGTGAGCGGAGCCCGGCCGGGACAGGGACAGGCGAGTGCGGGGCGGAGGGGCGCTGGCACTTACGGTGATCCTGCCGCGGTAGGTGCTGCGGAGCCCGCGGCACTCAGCCGGGAACACCCTCCTCTCCTGGCACACCGTCCCGGCCGGCACGGCGGGAGGGGCGATGGACACCCCGACCAGCACCAGCGCCAGCCGCTTGTCTTTCAGCGCGAACTCCACCGGGGGCACATCCTGCAATGGCACCGGGTTAGCGCGGCGGGGACGGGGGACGGCCCAGCCCCGCGGCCCCCGCTCGGCGCCCCCCGCACCTGCACGGCGCGATAGACGCCCTCGCTGACGGCGTAGTTGAAGGACTCGATGTGGGCGGCGGTGAGGTCGCGCTGGGTCGTCCCACGCCGCGGCGGCCGCAGGCGGTGCGGGTCCGGGCGCGGCTCCGTCCCGGTGCCCGCCATGGCGCGCGCTCCTCCTCACGGGAAGCGGCGCGCGGGGACCGCCGCGTGCGGGGCTCGCGCCGCCTCCCGCGCGTGCGCTCCGCACCCAGCCCCGCCCCTCCCGGGGCGCGCCCATCCCGCGGCCACTCCTGTCCCCAAATCCCGCCCCGCGCCCACCCTGCAGCTCCGGCCCCCCGAGCTGCGCTCCCCCCGACTGGCACTGCCAGCTCCCCGGCACCCTGTGCATCCGTGTCACCCGTGTCCCTCCCCCCGCCCAGCCACGTGCGCCCCTGGAACAGGAGCCTGGATATCCAGCCATCCCCATCACTCTCTGCTACTTCCGCACGCCTGGAATCCCGAGCAACCCCGCCATTCCCCAGCTCCCACCGCTGCCGGGACAGCCCAGGGGGTGACGCCAGTTCCCGGGACCCGCTGCCCCAAGGAAACACCACAGGCTGTGGGGTTTGCATGTTTTAATGATGGTTTAGGAGAGATGTGGATAGATGCGAGCTCAGCCGAGAGTCGGGAGCTCAGGCATTCGCCAGCCCCACATGCACACGCTGGCGTGAGAGCAGCCGGGCACACACGAGCCCGAGCCTGACGGGCGGCCAGCTCGGCAGTGCCCCGTGTGCCACACATCCTCTCAACACCAGGCTTTCCCAAGGGCTGCCACAGCGGACACTGTCATGGAGCATGATCATGAACGGCACAGCGATGCTCTCCTGGGAGAGAGCTGCGTGTGGGGAACAAGAAATGCTGGGAGCAGGGACATGCAAGCAGTCCTGAAGGGCACTGGTCACAGTCACCTGGATGAAATCAGCGTTTGAGCCTTTCTTAGATTTCTCCGGCGTTCTCCATGGACTGTGGGCAGCCACCAGATTTCAGCAGAAGCACAACATGACTAATTTGTATGGAGCAAGCCACATGGGAGTTACCTGAAACCCAGAGTCCAGTGGGACCAGACCCTGCTGGACAACGCAGCAAGAACACCTGGGCCAGAAATTCTTCATGGATGACATGAAGGGATACAACTAAGACTAGAGACATTCTGCAATATGGTAGGTGTCTTCTGGAAACCCAGCAGTATCCTGGGTGAAAGCTCAGGAAAGAGAGTAAGACCTTTTCTATTGACCTTTTAGCTGAAATAAACTAGAAAACATTTATTGTTGTATATTCCTAAAAAAAGAAACAAACGGAAGTCTCACAGGGGCTTGTGAGCATCACTTGCAAGGTGCACCCATGGCTGCAATGCCCAGCCACACACACATCCTCTACTCCACCTCATAGCTAGTATTTTGGGTAAAACTTTAGGCACTGTGCTCTCTGTCCTTTATCATTTACCTTCTGTGCTTTATTTTGGGGGGAACTTTGAGAGAAGGTGGAAAATACACATTTTCCTCCAGAGGATGTTGCTTATTCCTGAAAAATTCAGCAAACAGAGGATTCAAGCGTCCCTGAAACACTACCTCCCCCAAGCCCAGCTGGAAAGGCAGGCTATGAATAGTTGCATCATCTGTAGTTCTGGCTCTACCACCAAGCATTATCTGAATTTCCCTTTTGAGGAGAAGGATGGGTCTAGCATCCCAGAAATTGAGCATTTCTTGGGTCATTGTGATGAGGGAAATTTTCTGTTCCTGTCTCTCCTGGAGTTTACAAGAGCTCAGCTGTCACCTCAGGCACATCCTGGATGAGAACGATTGCTCTGAGGTCTTCCCACTGCTCGGCAAAAAACGTGCAGTTTTAAGCTAACATGAAAGTATCAATGGAGATGTGGTGAACTTTGCAAGCTGAGTAACAACCCTTAAGAGCCTGTATTTTACTTCTGTGAGTTATCACCACACTTCACCCAGACTGCAGTGAAATTCTGACACCTCTGTGCTGTCGTAAGGTTAAACCCCCCATCTTCCCCCACACCCTTCTCCCTGCTTATCACCCAGCCCTTCCCATCAGGATTGTCTGCTGCATGAAGATCTCTGAAATCTCCATCACAAGCAGAGATGAGTACACCAAAATGCCAGGTTCTCCTGAGGAAGGCAGAAATTCCATTGCTTGATGCACTCCCATTACACACAGGCAGCTTGTAACCTCCACAATGTCTTCTTGTTTCTTTGTTACGGGGAACAGGAACCAGTTTTTTTCCATGACCGTCTTTCCCTGCCAGGGGGATGTGCTGGGCTCACACTGCAAATTCAGACACACTTCACAAAGCGGGAAACGTGACAGGGATGTAGGTTATACTCGAAGTAGATGTTAGCTCTGAAATTCAGACATCTCAAGGAATTTAACCTCTCCTTCCCCCCAAAGGACTTGATTTCCCATGTGTGTGGCAAACAGGAGTCTGTCTCCTGGTCTACAAAATCTCACCCACCTTCCTCCTAGCTAGGATCAAGTTGTGGACTGTGATCAGGGCAGAAGATTGCAGTATTTGTCAAACAGAGGAGAATAAAATTGGCTGGATTAAACAGGATTTGGGTAGAAAGGTTTCAGGTTCAAGCCTCAAGTAAATCCTGAAGGTGAAATCTCAGAGAAGAGCCTAAACTCACTGCAGTGCCTCAGAAGAAACTGGAATCAGGTTTCTGCTACTTGAAACAGCACAAAGGTGATTCTAGAAATCCTACAGCCTGCCAGTGAGCTTGAGGGGGTCTCTCTACCTCTTTTAAGCAGAATCCAACTGCCTCAGACTGGGACAGACACTGATTCAAATCTCAATAGGAAAAGGGATAGCTATAAATAAAGAAAATCGCCTTCCTTGCTTGGGTTAATTCACCACCTGCAGTTCAGCACCCTTCTGCCAGCCATTGCCTGGGTGTTCAGCCAACCAGCTTGGAAAATGACCTAAGGAAACTGACTTCTTGGTGTTCCCGGTTTTAGACACCAGGAGAGCTTGCTCCTTTCTATGTAACAGAGCAGGAACAAAGGAAAGGAGTCACCTATTTGGAGCCGAGCTAAGGCACTAATGATGCAGTAGGTGAGGAAAGAATAAACACAGCGGGAGGAGGAGGACAACTCCATCGTTCTCTCCACTCGATTCCCTTAAAAAACCCAATGTTATCTCTATAGAAAAGGAGGAGCTAATACAGCATTACAGTATCCCTGCTGGGGTTTCATTTTAAGGTTGTTTTGTTGTACTCCCAGAGAGATTTGTTTCAGGTATCAAAGTCACAGGAACTGCTTCTAAAGTGGATTTTGGTGAATGCAGGCAGAGTTATCTGAGCAGCTCCGGCTCATCACAGCTCTGTGAGGATGCCTGTTTCGTTGTTTTTCCCTGTGGTCTCCCATAAAATATGAAGCCTGTCTCTATCACTTTTTGGCATGTTACTGAGATAAGCCACCAAGCTGTGCTGACCCGAGGGGTGTAGTCTCTCCTGTTGACAGCAGTGGCAGTTGTGTCGTCATCACAGCTTGATGAAGATCGATGATGACTGGTTCATCTTCTGCCCAGTGTCGTTGAGGGGGAAAACGCTGGAGATGGCTACATCCACAATTCCTTGGCAGAGCTCTGCATACAGCTTCCTAAGAGATGAGAGAGAGAATCAGATACCCAGAGAGGACAAACCAGCAGACCCCTAGCCAATTTTTATGTAGAAATACATTTTCCCAGCAAGATCTACAAGATCCTATTCCCATTACAAGGAGTTTCAGAGTGGCAAACAGGAGAGCAATATCTCTTCCACCTCATTGTTTAAAACAACAAATACCTTCTTTTTCCATGGTGATAATTCCTAATATTGCTCCCTTTCACAAATCACCACAAAACCCATTATCTATGTTTACAGTCAGGTCAGGCTTCTGAGCTGCAGAAAGAAAGACTCAGGCCCCAGACTTGAGTCTCCACAAAATGCAAAGGGGCAGAAAACATCTCAGGGCTCCCTGTACCAGCCTTCCAGTTCTGGGAGCTGGGATTTACTGCACCAGACCCTGCTCACACAGGAATGTGCCCCAGAGGGGCTGCTCTGAAGCATTCCTGGTTTGATGAAATAGTGTGCTGGGGTGCAGCTGTACACATCAGCTTTTGACCAGGCACAGGGGCTTCATAGGACCCTCAGATGTGTGGGATGTGTTTCACCATGGCACAGCTCATGCACAGCAGCATTAGGGAGAAGAGAGACAAGTGTCTGAGACGAGTTAACAACAGCTTCATTTTCTGCTGAAGGAAATGCATGTGTAATCTCCCTGAATGTGCTGGCATTTGGGACATATTTAGTACCAAAGCTGTTTCTCCCAGGATTAACAGTGTCTTTCACACCATGCCACTGGGGCTATGTAACAGTAAGATGTTTTTTCAGCTCCTGGGAATGTTATTGCTTACAGCAGCCAATTTTTTTTTCCTATTTAAACGGGAGCTGTGTGATACAGGTGCTATAAATACACCTGAACAGGAGAAGTCACAAATAGCCAAAACCTACCTCAGCTGCTTTCAATCTACCAAGTGCCCAACAAAGCCCTTGCTCTTCCAAGAGGTACAAAACAAACAGGGCACTGCTGCAATCCAAATCCACCCAGCAACAGCCAAATTCTACCCATACAGCAAGACAAGAAGGTTGCAAGGCAGTAACTGCACCATGATCCACAATGTGAACTGGGCATCCTGGACACAGAAAGCTCCCCAAGTTCTAGTGTGAGAAATCGAACTGTAGAGGATTCCCAAAGCCTGCCTGAAAGCTGACATAGTCTTGTACATCTGTATGCAAACTCTGAGATAAGGTGTGCTGACTTAGCTAGGCCATGGAATAGAGAAGAGAGAGAGAGATTGATCTGGAAAGAAGTTTCAAAGGATGGCCTTGCAAACAGACCAGGTATTTTGGAGAATCAGAACTGTGAAAGATGCATTGTAGCAAGACCACGTGGGGTAAAATAATAGGGTGATTTGTGTTGCAAGTATTAGCAGCACTGTGTCACAAAAGCTAATTGGTGTTTTGAGGCGTGTTTGGCTAATTTGTCAAGTGGTTGGAACGCTTTTTG